GTCAGTACCACTGTGGATGGAGGGGAGAGTCTCTCTTACCCCACCTCCGTCTCTCTCTCCCTCACTCTCTCCTCTCTGTCCTGTTATCATCAGTGTGATGGAGACATCATCATCGCCTCCTGGGAGTATAAATAGTGCTGGATCAGGTGACAGTGCCAGCCCTGGCCTTTGATGGGAGCTTTAATTTCATGCCTAATTTCTCTCGGCACAGAGAGGATCGATGCTGCCCTGCTTGTGCTCCCTATCCCTCTGCTTCCCTCTGCTGCAAAGACAGAGAGCAAAGAAGGACAAATGCTCACTGCTGACTGATGTGCACGCACCGAGACATTTAGCTTACCTGTAAACACACGTGTATGGACATCCTTCACAGGCCACAAACATGGTGACAGATAGAGGAAAATGCCAGGTCAAGAAGCATTTGCCGAGATCCTTTTCTGCTGCCACAGATGACTTCAACAATCAATACAGCTGGAACAGATAGCTTTGGAAGTAAGAGCAACAAGCAAAATATAGCTACCCACCTGTGTGTTGTGTGTTACACATCGCCATGGTGATAAATATAAGCCCTCTGTCCCCGCTCGCAGCCCCAGGGAGGCATTGAACTCTAGCCCCTCCATAATGACTTTGTCTACCTATCGATCGGGCTATGATCCATGTACTGTAATTCTTATATCATCAGCCCCGGCCCCGGCAATAACTCCAAGTCATATTTCGGGGCCTCCCGTCCGCTTGACAACTTAATGATGCAGGGGTCCTTGCCGAGTTTGGACTTTTACCACCGCCTCCACCTCCTCTCCCTCTCTTTTCCTACTGCTCCTTCCCCTGCAGGGCTCTAATTTCACCTTGTTCTTCCAGACTAATATCAGCACAGAGAGGCTGTTCTCTCTAAGGCCTTCCCACTTTGAACCACACATTGTCTCCTTTTCACCTCTGCGTGCTTGCAGCATAGCACAGGGTTAGTGTCTGGGACTGCCGTGCATCTGTCTCTGATTTGGAGCACAGCCCCTGCAGGCTCCTGAGGAGTCTCAGGCGTCCCTCTTTAGACCCTGTTCTTTTTCTCCCTTTGAGCCGTGGCTATATTTCATTGTCATTTCACCCTCTCTTCCTAGCCTGGATGTAATAGCGAAAGATATATGGGCCCCTGCTTCTGCGGCCTTCTGAGCTTCCTCAGCCTTTTATAAAACACTGTCAGAGTGACAAAACAGCAGCCCTTGGGTATTCGGGCACAGATGCACCCTCATCCCAAGGCAATTTCTCAATATCCTGCGCTGATCCTTTTAGCAAAGAGATAACATCTGGGTCCTTGGACAGGATGAGTTGGAACAGTCATCCTAGACAGAGTCGTAGCTCATCTCTATAGCTCTGTCTGCCCATAAGCCATAGGCTGTCTGTCATCTCTGTTTTTATAAGAGCTGATTTAGGGAGCAGCCCTTGAATCCTGCGCCAATAGAAAACTACAGGAGCATGCAGGGCTGATCCAGTGCTCACGCACCTGATATGGCTAAACAAGGAGCTCCAAAGTGTCGGAGCAAGAATTCAAAGACAGAGGGGGTTTGTGTGGGTTTTAATCCACCGCCCTCTCTGTTATAAAGAGTCTAATGATGTTCCACCCGGCCACAGAGACACATAACAACCCTATACCTCTGAGACATGGCCCTGATTGAGATGTGAGTAAGAGAGAGCAGGAGAGTGAGGGTGGGGGGGGGCAGATGGGGCTCTGCAGACAATTAAAGCTGCATGTTTCTGTCCTCGCTCCTCTACTTTGTTCCTGTCACTCGGCCTCATCCCTGGTGACATCCATCCTCCTCTTATATGCATCTGCCTCATTTTTCCTTGCGGCTCCCACATATTCTATCTTCTCCTCATCTCCATCTCTGCTCCTCTCCTCCCCCCTCACACACACACACACTGTCTCTCTTTCCCTCCTGCACTCCACATCTCTCTCTCTCTCTCTCTCCCACCCTCCCTCTCCCAGCCTTAATTGGGAGTCAGGGAGAGCAGTGGAAATCGCATTAACGCGGGCCCTGCCTGGGTGTGCCATCCATCTTCTTTTTTATTACGCCGCGCCGGGGCTGCCTGGGCGCTGCCGTTCGATTTGTCACCGGCCTCGTTCGCTGATAACAGGCATTTGTCATCGCCTTGCCTCCCTGTTAATGTTATCATCTCCTCCCTGACAGCCGCCCTCCGCCGGGGAGCGCCGGCGACAAAGCACATCCGTCAAGCGAATATTTCCACGGCTAAGGGGACCGCACACTGCAATAAGCCACATTAAAGCACTTATGAAGGGTGCGGGCACGCAAGCGCGCGCGTCTGTGTGTGTGTGCATCTGCGTGCGTGCACCGGTGCGCGCTTGGCACTGTGCGCTCCGTGCGCATACGCATCCTTGCAAAGGCGCACGCACACTCCAGGAGCGTGTAGTGCGCTTGTCGAGGTGGGGGCCGACAGGGAGAGGAGGAGGTAATTTGTTGCAATTAATTACGCGGTGAGTGTGGCTTTGTTATGTGGGAGAGCATTTTATCTGTTGGAATGCTTCCTTCTCCAGACTGTGATGCTATTTGTTTGATTTATAGCTTCTGCCTGCCCGAGGCGGGTGAGCCTGCCTGTGTGTGTGTTTTCACATGTGCACAATACTGTGGCATTATCCACAGAAATATACTGTAGTCCTAGTGACAAGGAGCCCTTTGTTTGGGAGTGATGTTACATATGAACAGCCACACAGTCCCTGTTTGTGCCCCCCCCCCCCTCTGCAGAACTCACACTCTCCTATGTCCATTTGTCATTCAGCAGCAAATCACCAGCACCAGAGGTTGACCTTCCATCCACCACTTTCACCCGAAAGTGCAGAGACACCCAGATTTACTGCACCACAACCCTAATACAATCCAGAAGTGATATGCTGATGTTTCTAACACCGGCCTGGTCGACTCTCCTCTCCTCCCGTCTCTGTGGTGTCAGGACAAGCCGGGATGTGACAACATTTATCTGGTCTGCCTCAGCCGGGGGTTTGCCGGGGCCCCTCTGCAGGGGCTGACAGATGCATCAGCCAGCCTAAGGGCAGTGGGAAGGCATGAGAGAGAGAGCGGAGCGTCGCTCACCACCCATCCTTCAACAAACTGTATGACTCCCACATTTGCCAGAAAACATCACATGGTGTGGCAAATCTGCAACCCTGGCAGAGAAGTGCAGCCATTAGACGATGGTTCTGCCACCCACCAAGAGAACAGTGCTTCATGTGATCACATTGTGATCACATGGTTGAAAATACCCTCTGAGGAAGATTTCTTGACCAAAGAAAGTTTCACTTCACTGAAATGCAGCTCTTCAGTAGCATTTGCAACCAGAGACAGAAAACAAGATTATGTTTAATTAAAAATAGATCAATACAGTGAAGAGCTGCAAGCATGTTGATTGGTTTCCTGTCTCTTACAAGTGAGGTGCAAGACATTTAAAGAAATTTTCTTCTCTATCAGAAGGTCACATGTTGTCTGTTCTCAAGGTATCAGTTTCCAATCAGTCATTCCCAGAATGAAACAGTCTTCATGAAGGATGGAGAAGTCTTAAGAAAGACTTCTGCAATGGACAATTTAACCACTTACCTTCTGTATGAGAGCTGCGGATCTCTGGACCACTGCAGACTTATTAAAAACTGATAAGCCCATTTAATTACTGCAATGAATCAATGCATCATTATCAATAAAATAAATACTATTAACATTCTTATACAAGCTCCATAAAACACATGTAAATCTTGAAAAAACATTCTCACCCTATAGGTGCACTTAGTAGCTATTCTGGAGCTTTTGATGGTTGATAATTACCAACAAATAGAGCAGCAGATGTTTAAAATCCCACACCAGCTGCGTATCACACCTCCCAAAACTCCTCCTTGTTCCTCAAAAAGGTTTTGTTATGAAAAAAAAATCCCCTCCATGGCCTTAAAATGGCTTAAATGTAATTCTACACATTCCTTCCTCCTTTGTGAATTGGATCTATGAATATACTAATATGACCCCACCCCTGTTCAAATTCACCCCACCCTCACAGCGCCACCTGCAGCTGAGGAGACTTATTCCAGCTACTGAACCAACTTGACAGGATTGGTTTCTTAGGTTTGTGACATCACAAACCCTGGATGTGTGAATCCGTTGATTTTAGCTTTTGTCTGCTGCAGTGTTAAAGTGGGAATACTCCGCCATTGTTCTGACTGCTCTTTTCAAAATATATATTTTTATCATATAAAAGCTAATGTATTTAAAATTACATTTTCACTGGAAGGGACTTAATGTGTTTTCTTTTTTGTGGTTCAATTCTATTCAATTTTATTTGTATAGCGCCAAATCATAAAATACATTATCTCAAGGCACCTTCTATGTTCATTATCAAAAATTGTGTTAACTGCATCTACGGATGAAGGTCATGTTATATGACTCAGAAAAGCAACTAAATGAAGTGTGAGGTGAGCCCTGTCTCCTAACCTGCTGTTTCCTGTGAAAATAAACTTTGCATTTGTTTATTATTTATAAACCATTAATGTAGCTGTTAGCTATCACGTTTAGACCCTTAATAGCATAAAGCGTGCTGTATTAGACTGTTGTACCTTTATTTGTTTTTCAGTTCAGTTTGAATAAAGGGTTTATTCAGGCGCTCAGTGTTTCCTCTCTATTTTTCTTCTGTAATGTCAGTGCTGGGAAATGTTTTACGTGGGTATTTGTTTCATGATGTATGGGCATGTGTGCTGTAATTGCAAGTGTGCAATTTTGTTATGTTTATGGTTGTTTTTGGTGAGAGGCAATAAAGCTAGACTGTGATTTTTAGCTTCTCTGTGTGTGTGGAGGCAACATCCAGTTATTGGCATCACCACAGCCAATTGAATGTGGAGTAAACATTGGCCCCAGAAGAAACTAAATTGTTGTGGTAGGTCAGAAAGCTGTGTGCTGATATTTTTGTGTGTTAGTCAGAAAAACAATTTGCAGCATAATAAAGACGATAGAGATTTTTTATCGACTTAATTTAAAATTATATCTCTCATTGTCAATCCACCATATTTTATACAAAGAGGTCTTGTAAAACATGCAACAGACAAAAAAAAAATTGAAAAACAAACAAACTTGTAAAGCTTACTTGTTGTGATATATTGATTCATTATAACTCTTTAACAAGCTTAATGCACATTAGGTCGATGTCTGGACAGGAAATATGAGATGACTACTACAGTAGCCACAATATTCAGCTCTCTTATATAAAAAAGAGACAAAATCACAGAGGGACGAAAAGAAAGACAAAACAAACATGAGCTCAAGTTTTTGGTCAAGGAACTCAACAGTGTGAACATGCAACAAAAGATGCACCAATTCAACATCACTGATGGTTGGAATATCACTTAAAATTACAATATTTTTAATTACTTGAAAAAACAGGGACTAAAAACAGTAAATTATTGTACATGTAGACATTTATGACTCGAAGTGGAAGCCCACATTTTATCTTGTATGTGTTTGCGTATGATGCCTCTGTTTGTTTACACTGGTCATAGTTGTTTTCACGTGAAGCAGCAGATCCCCTTGTGTCCACAGTTCCACCGTTTACCTCGGCCATACTAATTAAAGAAACCGTCGTTAATAGGTCCACCTCTACGTTCCTTCTCTATGGGCTCTTATTTTTCATCACGGTAGCTGAGGGTTCCGTAGCCGTTCATCAGAGCCATTTTCAGATGACCGTTGGAAGTCAACTCCTCTTCATGTATCTTGTTCTTTGCAGCAAACATCTGACTGATCTCCATAAAGGTTTTGTTCTTGGTCTCAGGAATGATGAAGATGGTGTAGAGGGCCACGCCCAAGCAGATCACGCAGAAAATCATGTAACAGTAAGGACCTGTAGCAATCTGAAAAGGGAGGACACGCAGGACAACTGTGATTAAATAATACCAATACTATAAAAATGGGAAATGTCCAAGGGAATTAAAAGGAGACAAATATGACTCATTGTTAACTGATACTTTCCACCATTTTTGTGCCATTTGGAGAAAAATATGGAAAGACCATAATAATTTACTTTCAAATGTTATGGCTAACGTGTTTTTCTTTACTTTTTACACAGCAGAGTAAAATGTTTTATTCATTTGAGTCAAGTATTTACTTTTATTTTTTCTCTGTTTTGGTCTCCTCCAACTCCTCCAAAATATCTGTCTCTTTAGCTACTGAATGCTCTGCTATGTTCACCAGTTAGCTGCTAATTCTTTCTCTCTGTTCGATAATAAAAAGAAATCTCTTATCAGAGTGGTGAGAGAAATCCAAAACACTACATGTGAGGGCTATAAAATCAAAACAAGCTGGAAGTTGCTAAAAAGCTCTGTAAAATTGAGGGAATGCTCAGTGTTGGGTTAAATGTACATGTGAGATTGTCAGTACAAATGCAATCTTGTACACAAACACATTGTTACACAAAGTTGTTAAAGCCTAGTATGAGCATGTTGATATGTGCAGCTTTAAAGAGGAAATTCATTATTAAAAAGAATCTTGTCTGGCAGCTCTGAAGATTTTTTTTTTTTTTACGTATTTAGTGTGAAATTAAAACGGAAAGATTAAAGACCACATGATCTCATAGCAAAGTCATATTTTTACGCTCTGTGTCCAGAATGTATGTAGGTTTTTATTGTCTATTGCCACAGCCCAGACCCTCGTTCCCTGGATCTGTTTGCCCATAATGCTGAGGATAATGAGGGAGAGCAAAGCTGGGATTTTAATTGGTAATTTTATTGGTGTTTGGGGAGTCACCTCTATTCAGACTGAACCAGACAGCCCGTAAGCCCTGTGTCTGACACTGAGCCATATCAGATCCTGGATTCAAAGTCAAGATGAACTCGCTGACTCACAAAACCAAACAAAAAAAACCTTGGATTTCAGAATCATATGTCAACAGTCATACTCTTTGACGTAAAATGCCTTCAGAGAAAAGAAAGAAGAATTTCACTGTCAGTGATAAGTTTGCTCTGACCTCTAGGAAGGGGAAGACGAAGCCGATGGTGAAGTTGGACAACCAGTTGAGGCAACCAGCCACAGTGTAGGCAGCCGGTCTGTGCGACTGCTTAAACAGCTCTGCTGTGATCAGGAACGGAACGCCAGCTTCGCAGGGGAGACAAAATCATTTCATTTCAGATTTTGACAACAGCAACAATCTCAGCAAATCATGGCTCACTTCACATTCGGTTGGTTTGATCTAACAAGGCATCCCATCAAGCCGTCACAATACAAATCACATTTAATCACTCAGTGCACTTGTATGAATCTATTGGGGGTTGTGAAATTAACTTCTGCGTCGTCATTCATCAATTAGTTTATCAATATTCCCACTCAGGACTGTTCTTTGGCAGTCATTCAAACTAAACAGAACATTAACAGAAATGATAGACATTTCTCAAGCGCCAACTGTGCTATTATATTTCTCTCCCTTTATTCTGCATGAACTTGATTATGTGATCATTATTCCTCAGCGACCAAAGACTGACAGGAGAGGAAGATGTTTGTCAACTTGGCAAAACTCCATCTCTGAACCACACGGAAAAGAAAAGCTTCATCTGGACTTGTGTAATTCATTAGTTTGATATTTTGACTCTATGAGATTTTGTCTTTAAATGCACAATCCCTCATTGTTAGAAGTGAAAGCTACGATGGAGAAATATACATTAGTAAAAGCTCTAATGAAGAGCTTTTCCAATGACGTCCTCATTATCTGTGCATGATAATTGCATGGAGGAAGGTTTAATATCAACAAACCAATAACTAGACTGTAATTTGTCAACATCTGTGGTATGTATGGGGGGGGGCATCATTGTGCATGCAAGGTTTTGTGCGAAGCGACTCATATTCATCATAGCTAGCTTATGAACAATGAGCCATTAAAAGTCTAATTGCAGCGAGAGAAACTTGTATGCGTGCTGAAGTATAGATTTTGCCAACGTGACGGATGATGCTATGTAAACCACATTCGTCCCAATTCATCATCCTCACAGGTCCGCTCAACGTGGCACCAACATTGTAAACTACTGCCTCTTAATTCACTTCACTCAACTTATCCGGTGTACAAATGGTGGTGGGAATGGATGTGGTGTGGCAGGTCTAATTTCCTAATTTACAAGAGGAATGAAATACAATATCTCTTCACAGTCAGAGGAGGAGAAGGGAGGGAGGGAGGGCGCCTGCTGTTGGGCGAGCATCCAGCAGAGAGCAGTGTAACCTTGCACACAGGACTGCACAGATCTAGTGCCGTCCATGTGAGGAGCTGGAAAAGTTAAATGTGAGTGTTTGAAAGAGTTTTCAGGTGAGAAGAGAGAGGGTAGATTCATGGTATTTACCTGGACCTATGCAGAAGCCTGCAATAATCCCAACAACGCAGCCCACACTGATGTAGCGCATGAAGGACAGCTGCGCCTGCAATTGGTCAAACACAAGTCACGAGTCTGAAGTCATGAATTCTGATTATAAGTAATATGAGAAACATGATTAGTAGCATGTGAGGCTCCTGACACTTCATAATCACACATAATTACACACGTACAGTAATAACTGTGTTGTTTGGTTTGATAAAACACTTTTGTTTCCTGCACTGAAGATATGTGAATAAATCTTACTCTTAAGCTATTCTCCCTATTCTTATTAAAAATACATACATTTGTAAATAAATACAATTAAAATTCTGTGAATAATAATATAATAATAATAGTAATAATGATAATAATAAGAAGAATGATTTTTAATTTATGTAAATTGGATAATGTTCTTCACCCCTACAAATAAACACCGAACTGTTTACCCTGTGTCACAATGTGCAGATTAATATGATATATTCCCACTGCAGCAGGACATGAGAGGACATTGTACCTGGAGGAGGACAGACACAGTGATCCCTGCACAGCACACTCCCATGAAGAGGAAGCCGCCAATCATCAGAGGTCTCCTGCCAACGCGATCGATGGTGAAACACTGAAAGAAAGGACGGAGGGACAGACGCTGTTGTGATTGGCTGGCAACGTTACACATCATCAAAATATCGAGACACAGAAGGTGAGTTGAAGTTTCATGTTTACAGAGATAATAAAAAAGGTGAAAAATTAATTTCCACAAGACATAGATAAACAGTCATTAGCTTTTAAATCTGCAATGTAATAAAAACTGAGAAGAGCAAAAATAATAAGAAGTAGAATAACATTTGAGAAACTGATAATAACTTTTAAACTATTAAAATAGTTGGACATTTTCTGTAAATTGACTAATCGCCTTTTAAGCAGAATATGAAGTATATCTAGAGATGATGTTAATGTCATCTTAGTGTGTTTACAGTGTAATAATATCCACTCACCCCCAGCACCCCAGAGATGACCTCAATGGCTCCAGTTCCCACTGTTGTGTACTGAATATGAGGCTCTGGGATCCCTGCATTCTTAAATATTTCATTTGTGTAGAACCAGATCTGAAATTGACAAATATATGTTTATTAATATGACAGACACACACACACACACACACACACACACACACACACACACACACACAGTGAGACAGACGCTTTGTCTTTTTTTGAGCCAAAACGTCGCTCTTAACGTGAGCGATCACGATCATCAGGCCGACCATCACTTACGCATTTGAGGTACGGCGCTTCATCAGTATGGACTCCTGACAAGTGCTCCCGTTGAAATTAATTTGTGTATGCTCATTAATCACACTTTGCTGATGCAACATCCATCATTGATGAGGTGTGGACAAGATCGTGATCGGTGTGGTTAAACGCTGTCTCGTTGATTTAGTAACCATACATGGAGCTTTTCATCACCATTGCACCACTGAAGTATGCATACACAGACAATTAGAAAAAGTTAAGAGATGGTATCAGTTTTAACACATGAGTTGTCTTAAAAGAGTATGAGTATATGTTAATGGGTTAATAGTTATTAATCTCATGTTTTAATCTGAGTTTCTGTCAAACTGGACATTTCGCATTCATACACAGTTTTGAGCAGTTCTATCACAAAGGCATTAGATGCTGCTCAACACAGGAACGCACACGATTGCTGTCTGAAAATTTAAACACCTATAAAATAAAATATTAATAATTTTTACCTCTGCCAAGGAGGTTCTGTTTTCAATGCCATTAGTTTGTCTGGCGGTATTACTCATTGGAGCAGTGGGACAGGCATGACCCACAGAAGAATCCATTACATTTTGTAGCAGATCCAGATAATCGGGAAGATCTAGGAACTTTAGTCTCACTTTTTCTAACATGGCGAGAGACGGAGTTAGCCTTGAGGCAGGTTTGCACTCTCCAAGCGTCCTTCCAGTTTTCTCTGATAATATTCAATCTCTCCCAGGCCAAAGATAAGCTGTTTGTAGACCAGCTGACTGACTTGTCCCCTTGTGGGTCTACATCAACGTGTGTCTCCCAATTACACAGCAAGATGGAGGCACCTTGAGGCACCCTGCGCTTGTCTGAACCAACTTATCCATCCATCATCCACCCATCCATCCAAGGCTGAGCTGAGAATTCTGTTCTGAAACTTGTAGGTAAGCGTCAGAATGAAGACTCACCGTATCACTTATGAAAATTATAAATCATGATTTTTGCCTTTACATATTACACCCATTTCCTGCCATCTTGTTACAGAGTTGTCTTATTTCTCTTTGCAGGATAGCTGCATTGGATTATAAAAATACCCAAAGGCTTTCAGTTTTGTTGAAATATCTTTGATCTATTGTCCACAGTGCCTGGACACAAGGGTGCTTTCTCGAGAATGAAGCCATCCAGTGTTTCTGTGCGGAACATCTGATACGGCAGGACTTGGCAGGGTGTAGCCCTGCTGGGAAATGATGCTAGCATGTGAGCAGCATGCCTAGAGCTTCCATCCACATGGAGCACTGAGTACAAAGATGTGTTTGACTTTGTGTGTGAGTGAGTGTGGCTGGACCTTCTTATGTGGGGTAACACTGGAGAGGGAGGACCAGGAGATAATGAGCCGTGGTCCTGTGCCCCCCTGCTTAGTCGCTCAGTGGGTGCATGTGGGACTGTAATGTATGAACAGGAAGAGATACAAATGGGAGGAGCACAGCTGGGGACTGCAGGAGCTCTCACTTTCTTATAATAACTGCACAGTTTCTGCACATCCACAACACACACACACACACACACACACACACACACACACACACACACGCAAACACACCAAGACAGAAAAGACAACAATGCTTCTTCTACGCACCGCGTCAATGCCAGACAGCTGCATGCCGACGTTGACCACCATAATGGTGATGACCTGCCAGCGGACGCAGCGGTCCCTGAGCAGACCCCAGACAGAGATGGTCTGGATGGACGATAAAGAGCGTTGCTCCTCCTGCATCTCCTCAACCTCTGCCTGGATGTTTCCTTTAGTACGGAACCACTTTAGTGCTAAAAAAAAGAAAAGAAAGCTTTTAAGATGTTAGAATAAAAAGAACAATAAACATGTAACCTTTCTGTCATGATCTTTGAATCATCTTAAAGAACAAAGAGAAAAAAAACTTACATTGTTAAGACAAATTATGTCTTTTCTCCATGTGATCAAACATTAAAAAAATAACATGAGGGAAGAAGACAATCCTCTTTCTGACCTGCGATGGTGGCGTGCACATTTCCCTTCTCTATCAACAGGTACCGTGGACTCTCTGGAAACCATGGCAACAGCATCACCTGGACTAGGGTAGGAAACACCACCAGGGACAGGAGCACAGGCCAGTGCTCTTCCTGTAGGGAAAGAAATCATGACACATAACTAAAAGTAACATTCAGCAGTTCACAATATGCCTCATATCATCCCTTTATTATTATTTCTAAGAGCCGGAAAGTTATTCAGATTTGGCAGCATCTTTTAAACATGTGATAATAGTCTCACATCTGGATCACAATCTCTCAGGTTGCAGAAAGACCAATCTACCCTGAAGACACTGTTGGACGAGCTGCCTGAGCAAAAGTCTCTGTCTCAAAATCAAAAGCAGAGGTCAAAGGCCTCAAATGATTTCACTACCTTTCCCAGCAGCTCATGGAGCCCCAGCACCTGAGCGATGAAGACGCCGAGACAGATGTGGATGCTGGGAACGAGGCCCAGGAAGCCTCGCAGGTTCTTGGGGGCGATCTCACCGAGGTACATCGGCACCACGCTGAGAGAGATACCTGTTGAAAAAAAAAAAGATTACACACAAGCTTATGCTGTGATTTCGTATTTGACTAACACTTTTTACCTATGATAATTGATAAGATATGAACATTTGAAAGTATGAAATTGAATAAAATAGACACAAGACGATTGCATGAGGACGTATACTGTATTTGTGCATTATGAATGAGGGGATATATTGTTTGTATCGTAGTTTTTTGTTGTGACACTGGCATTGACTCTTATCAGCAACCATTATCTGTGTCTGTTTGTGTATGGCTCTGCTTTTTCATCCGGAGATATTTGTGTTCTCACATCAGCTCATTCAAACATTCTCCTGAGTTTTTAGAAAGGGCCTGGTCGGGGGTCCAGAGGCTCTCTCCCGGACATGTCAATAGATTCAGTGTCCTAAAGCAGCTTTAGTAATGTGCTAGTGTGACTTTACGTCTACTCATGAAAGAAAAAGTAACTTTTATTTATTTGCTTAAATCGCTTCTAGTTTATTTTATTTGAGGATGAATGTGACAGACTCGGGCTGGGCCTACCTGAGTGCACTCCCATGATGAAGCGTCCAATGATGACCATCGCAGGCCGCTGGCACCATCTGCTGAAGCCCATCAGAGCTCCTGCTATGAACACCAGCACACTGGATTTCACCAGCGTCCCTTTCCTGTTAGGGCACACAGTCATCCCTTTTTACTCAACCCACTTAATGAATTAGATGTTTGTAACTGCCAGAAGCATGAGGATGATGGCATTTAAGAGATACAGACACACATTGAGTACCAGTTATAATCACAAAAATCATCCACACACACACACACACACACACACACACACACTAACCTTCCATATTTGGTGACTAGTCTGCCCACCAGCAGGGCCCCCGTCATCCCACCAATAGCAAAGACAGACACAGTGAGGGAGTATAAGACAGTGAGGAACTGTTCATCTGGAATCCAGTCGTAGGTATCAATAATTGACTCATTGTAGAAGGCTTTGATGTACTGGTGGGAAAAACAGAAAATCAATTAAGTTCATCTTAACATTTCCCATCAGGAGGATAGATAAATGTATTCATTACAAGTGTAGTGTCCATTCTAAACCTGCCTGATTTGAAATTTTAATTGCAAGATGCATGCTCTCTTCCAAACATCCTATTTTGTTTTTCTAAAGAAAATCCTATTTTAGTAACTTTATAAAAAACACATAAAGCATTCATGTAAAAATATTCATTATCTTAATTCAAAAACCCAAACAGCCACTAAATAAAAATACTATTCCTATAAGCCTGAGACATTACAGTCAGTCCATCACTGCACATCCTCAATTATTCCCACAGTGTCACACATCCACACATCAACATCAGGCAGAGCATGTCCACAGCTTTGTGTGTGCACTCGGGAATGGTGAAGGAATCTTCATGTGCTTTATTCATGTGATTTTCTATTTTTCAGCGGACAGGAAGTTCAGCGAGCCCCCACCCCTGTGAAATAGGTCATACACTGCATGTTTCTATCCTCGAGGTGTGACAGCAGCAATACCCATCAAATTTCATTCAGTCTTATCTGACGGTGAGGAGTCCGCTGATATCAGACTGTCCTGGAGAATCCTCTACATTAAGAATCCAATTCATCTCGAGAGATGCACTTTATTCATACTCAGGTATGATAGAAAGAGAATTTTTTTTAGGTTTGCCTTAGTATTAACAGTTATCAATAAGCTTGGTTTGTAAAAAAGTGAGGAAACAGAGGGACAATCTGACATTTTACATGCAGCAATTTTCTATGAATCCAGTTTGCTCTATGATATATTAAAAAATAAGTTATATAACTGATCAGACCTGTTTAATATATTGTAAGAGCCTGGACATGGTGGGATAAGAACTGGTTGAGTCAACCAGTGGATCTGATGTGTAATCTGTGTCATCAGTCCACAGAATGTACAGAGACCTGCTGTTTTTAAGAAAGGACATAATACTGCCAAATATATTCATTGAGACATTTTGACTTTTTTACAACATCATCCAAATACAGATTTAGTGCTCAGGCCCAAACTGAGGTTTACTGGATGAAGGATGCGTAGAAGTGGAACTGATGAGCATCATATACATATATATCACCTATTACATGTGTGACCTTGTCCAATTAGAACGGCAGTGAACGATGCTAAAACACAGTCAATCTTGACACAAACATGTCAGTGTTCAAAAAGGCTGAAGTTAACCATCTCTAATCCATCAATTCAGTATCTATGCCGCTTATCCTTATCAAAGGTCCCAAGGGAGTGGGAGCCATGGCAGCATGACACCCGTGTGAACGTGCTAATTTCTCCTTTTCTCTTTCTTTCTTTCGTAAGTCTAGATGCTGAGGCTGCACTGAGTATGTTATGATCCACATTAAACATGCGGTCGCTTGTTAAAAAGTAAATGCAAAGTCTTGCCCAACTATACCTGCTGAAAAAGACAAATCATTTTCCTGCTCTGCTCTGTTCATTCATTTCGTTGTCACTTAATGACAGTGCAGAAATACTATCTCATAACCTCCATTCAGTTGCATTTCAAATTCCCTCTCCTTAAGGCACAAGACAAGCCTTTGAGGACGTGGAAATGATGCACGAATAGGGAAAAAACATAAAAAGTGGCTCCTCACTGAACTAAATGTTCCTGCAGTAGAGACCTAACTCATGTGATAGTGAAAGCATGGTTAGTGTTCATAACTAACACAAGGGGAAATTCACATGTGATCGTCTGACTCCCCCTGAATGTTAGCAACAAGCCCCTTTGCTTTGGTTGTGCTTTGAATTATCCATGGAACTGTCAGAACAAAGAAGTTCAGGTTAGGACTGACTGTTGCTTCCAAACTAAAAGTAACTTCCTAAGAGGACAGGCTTTTGTCAAAGAGGTAAGCGTTAAATCAAATTACAAGTTGGAAGTTGAGCAGTGGCGATGTTGAAGTCATGTGACGGCAGCGTGGTTTGCTTATAGCCTCACATTAGTTTTTTGCTGCTGTTCATTTGTGAAGATTATCCTGATGAACAAACTGTAGAAGTATCATGAACCTTTTTGTCACAGAGCTGATTTTCCACAAAATGAGAACGTCCATTGGCTTTTTGTCAAATGTTACAAAAAAATTATATCGATTACGACACAAAGTCAGACCATCTTTTTTTTAACTCTCACCTCTCCCTTGATTAAACCTTCTGCCAAACCTAATGTTAAATTTGGAGGCCCCGGTTTAAAGGAATGTCAGATGACACACAGTGGTGATGCCAACAAAGGGACTGAAGTCACATGGACCGTGGTTAAAGGTTTGACCTCACCATATCCGCAATAACTTGGGATGAATAAAGAAAAGCTCTTTCAGTCGCAACCTTTAATTCAGAAAGATAACACTTCTTAGTTTGGAGAAATTTGCATGGTACACACGTGAGAGGGGGAAAAGTTAGAGACACATGAAAGTTGCTGCTTGTCCTATCTGCTTAACTGCTAGCTTTGGGAATAGTTTGACATTCTGGGAAATATGCAGATTTGCATTCTTACAGAGAGTTTTTTGAGAAGCTTGGAACGACTCTTTAGAGGTTAGCTTAGCTTAGAGGCAGGAGGGAAGAGCTATAGCTGTTTCATGAGAGGGAAAATTGCAAAAAAATTGCATTTGTAGATTTATGTTTGTATGCAACAGAAATCAGCAACTTTATTCTCAATGTAAAAAAAAAATCTAATTTCATTTACTTCTACTTTATTATCGATTATCATTTTCTACATTTAAACTTTTTTCACTTATTTTACCTTTATTCTCGACATTTAAGCTTGTTTGTCTATGTTTCGACTTGAATCTCTTATCGCTAGTCTATTCTCAACATTTCATCTTTATTCTTGACATTTAAACCATATTCATGACATCACTCGAAATTTAGTGATGTTTCTCTTTCTTATAGCTGGCCCCAATTCTCTTCCGTATATTTGTGTAGATTTAACAGTTTGTTGTTGTGGATGTTATTATTTTATCATTCTATTATTTGGACAAAACCAGCCTGCTTCCATCTAATTGCCAACTTGCCATGATAATTGTCTCCTGGCTCAGTTGTTAACACACAGACACATAAGTGGTATCTGATTCTCAACAAAAAGGTAGATACGATTTTTTTTTTTAAATGTCTTATTATTTCCTAATTGCCTTATGTGTAAACTTGTAACTTTCCTGTTGTGGGTGGCCCTCAAAAACAACAATGAAGCAAGCAGCAATACACTTAAACCTGAACCACAGCCAACTTGAAGACCACCACTTCTCCACATTTCCACACAAACACCTTCGATAAAATATTTGACAGATCCTCCAATAAAATAAAAGAAATGGTTCATCAGCTAATAGCTTTAAATCAGTTTTGCTGGTGGAAGTCTATCTCTTAACATCAGTTGGAAACTGGCCACGTCTTTCTCCTCTAGTGAAAGTGAAAAAAAGGGTGCAATATGAGAAAAGTTTGAAAGTGATGAATCATGAGCGAAGCAGCAGATGCAGCTCTCTTCATGTAACTGCCTCCTCAAAAAAACATGTGGCACTGATCCTCTCATGCTTCAGTATGAGGGCGATCCATGGCCAAACAGGAATGGTTCAGAGCTTAGTCACTGCACCGCAACAAATCCAACGTTGAAGGAAAAGAACAGAGCGCATCATAGAAACGACAGGACATCGATGACACGGTGAGGTGCACAGCGGCTTCTAAATTTGATACACAGGGCCACATGCCTCCACGTGACATGATGGTTCCAGAGGCCTGTCCCCTGTAAAACATTACTGGCCTGTGGCCTAACATTTCTCTATTATCATATATACTGACCTCTTTGGAAACAAAACAGGTACTGGATTATTGTAAAGGAGAATCAGGCTTCTTGTGAGGTTGAACGTTTTTAATAAGTTTAATTAAATCTTATATGTTTAATTCAGCTTCCTTTTGAGCAGTTTCTTTTTTTCCCTTCTCTTCTGTATTGAAATATTCCGCGCCAATAGACAGCAGGTCGAATTAATAAAATAAAGTAGCCAACTGAACTGAACTGAGTAATCCAAGCGTTGGCTGTTTGGCCAGCAGCCAGCGCTTAGGAAGCTGTATCCATGAACTTCTAAAATTCATTTTAAGCTTTGGGAGGATCAAACACCATTCATTATCCCCCCCAGTGTTCATAGGCCTACTTAGAGAGATGAAGCTCTGTTGATTTTTTAATGACACAAACCTGTGCAGGAGAGTTGACCACAGCTAAGTTGTAGCCGTAGAGCATGGAGCTACCGAGCGAGGCCAGGAGAGACACGGCCAGCAGTGACCTTGTGAGCTGCTGAGGAGAAGAGGAGAGAGAGAGACGAATGAGAATAAGAAAAAAACTAGGTGTGTTTATTAAATATTGGATTGCCTGATTCAAAATACTAGAGCCTGACAGATATGGATTTTGGGGACCAATGCCAATATTATATTAGCGTGTAAAAACATTAAAATATTGGACATGTGTAAAAAGAAACATTGACAATAAATCCCAACTCCCTTATGACAACTTTATGGTAAATAACAAAAATAATTCAACCAAAATATACAAAACCTGTATTAAGAAAACACACAACTTTTCTGCATTGTTTATTCTGTAGAATAACGGTTTTTATAATGGAGCATATCAGGGAACACACACGCAGATACTATGTCAGTGAAATACTCTAATCAGCTGATTTTTATTGGCCAGCTGATAAATTGGTCTTGCTTTACAAAATACTCTGAATTGAACTTGACAAATCAGAAAAGATGAATTTAATGATTTAAACCTTAATCCTGGGTCCATTTCTATTGTTTTCTACTGCCTGTAAGTGCATCTTACAGAGTCATACTAAGGATATAAGCTGCATATAAGTCTGTGATCTTTGGACTTTGCAGCAGGCCTGTATGAGCACTGAGCAACACGTGTCTGAATCAGAAAAAGGGAAACAAACCCAGAACTGGACACAGGCCAGATCCCATTATGTTTGATCATAAACACGTTTCGCACATTGAGTGAGCTGAACAGATCTCTGCTCATGGTCAGTTAAATCCAAATACAGATTTACTGCTGAGGCCCAAACTGAGCTTTTGTCGCACTTGGAGAAAATAAAGCAACTGACGACTATAGATGACATAGGTTTTCTACATAGCAAGGGGGGAACACAAATGTTAACCATCAGCTGCATACCAGTGTAACACCTTGGAGTAAATATCCAAAGTCACATGAGCCCCCCCCCCTGTTTAAAGGGGTCAGGCTACAGTAGTTCCATCAGCAGTGGCAATGGAGTTACCCTCTTGGCTGCCGTCCTAGATTCCAACACTCCGAGCTAAGCTGACCTCCAAGGTGGAAGGAAAGCAGGATTATCATGTGTTTTTGAATGTTCTTACCTTGAAATGTAAGAAACTGGCATGCAGCACAAATGACCACAAACTAACCCCTCCTGTAAGAGCCCCTCACACTCTGATGGGATGAAGGTTTATGAAAAACCCACAGATCCTTGTGAGCTTTGTGCATAATTCGGTGTGTTTATGGGAACATGTAGGATGTTGGTGTGTTAATACACAGAGAGCCAAACAGGAACTCTCTGCTATGGCCAAACAAGGACAGCACAGATGCCTTAAAGAAACCTAATTTAGCCTAATGGGGAGAGTGAGACGACTACACGTGAAAATAGCTCTTGGCAGACAATGCTGCCCAGTGACCATCAAATTAGACTGATTATCTGTAAGATGTGCTCTTCACATGAGCGACTGCATCGCTTGGGTCAAAGCTCTGGGCAGACGTTTTGAAAACTTTTACTGAAGTCTTTGGTCATTTGTGTTTGTTTGTTTGTTTAAAATAGAATTAATCTAAGAAATGTGGACATTTGACCATCCTGGTAAATCTTCCCATAAATCTTCCCATGCCAAAGATTGCTTGGAAACATTGAACCTAAACCACACTTCTT